CTTGCATATTATTGTCTTATCCTATATAGATCTATAGAATCAACATACCGGTATTGCGTATAGAAGTAACAATGTCAATACATTATGGGAGATGGGGCCTAAAGACCACCTAACTTGCATATTATTGTCTTATCCTATATAGATCTATAGAATCAACATACTGGTATTGCGTATAGAAGTAACAATGCCAATACATTATGGGAGATGGGGCCTAAAGACCACCTAATTTGCATATTATTGTCTTATCCTATATAGATCTATAGAATCAACATACTGGTATTGCATATAGAAGTAACACTAAAAGTAGTTTGTACATCATAAAATGTTGTTGATTGTCAAATGAATTCCAAGACACAGTTTGTGTTAGATAGTTGAATGCTAAAATTGAATTTACGACATTCTTGGAAGAAAACACATAAATGCTTTCGAAATTTAGAAAGGAGTCATCGAGTGATGTCATCGGAGTCGCATTGACAAGCAGTAGAGAAAGGCTATAGTCTGGTATTGATTAGTAAAACGTCTAATGCGAGTAGAATATGTCACGTGACAACAGTTTATTACCTGATATATAAGAATATGCATAAAGCTGCAACCAAGAAAATCAACGAAATCGAGCCTCCTATCTCAGATATCAGAACTAAAATCCTTCCATGTATTGGATCGATCTAAAAGTACAAATCAATAACGTGAATGTAAATAGTCATTATAATGGTGTTTTATCACCTGCTATGACGTCATTATGATGACTTTTGTGTCAATCGTCAACACTGGTATGATTATATTGTGAATTTCAGATCGAACTGTCATCACTTTCTTAAAAAGCAATTTCCTTCTTTGATGAGCACACAGCACAAGTGAAATGAAAAAGTATCAGTTTCTCTGCACGTGATTAGCGTGATGATTAAGTTCAAATGATTAAATATGCCACTCATCATGTATGTATGTATGAACTCACCTGGAATGGCACAACTTGTAGTAATAACGCAAAGTTTGTTGTATGGTTACACTGACAGTTGACACGTGACCCAACATGGCTGATCAGTTCACATCCTGTAGTCTGCCATTCTCCCTCGTATCTGAAAAAATGACAAATATTTTAGAGTATATATATTCATTTGACTCATATATACAATAACTCGAAGAGAATGACTTACTAACACTTAATCAGTAGTATTTCATTGATCGGTATATACTCACGAGTTTGTGAATTGTAGAAATGCACATATGTCATTGTCAGGGTAAATTTCGTCACCGCTCTGTAAAAGCAATTATTGCGTTACTAATTAACATTTGTATGATATTGGACATGAGTATGAGACCACGTTTGAGATTAACAATGAAACATACATACCATCAATTTCAATGAAAATGAAACAGGCACACTACTGACGACATCGTTGTGTATTAACGAAGCAGATATTATATCACTTGAGATATTTTCGTCTGATACCGCAGTACCATTGCATTTATACGATATTCCAGTAGTTACCATGGATGCTTTATAAATAAAAGATTAGATTTTAACGAGATTCTATGATGAATGAGTTCAGAAAAATACTCCACAGACAGTGTATTCAACTTGTCCATTCGATTCACTGTCCTACTAAAAGTCCATAGCGTCGTATTTAACGATATATTTATACTGTTGTTGTAACAGTGTAAACGCATTTCAGTCATCGCAAAACATGTTGATATCACTAAACAACGTTAGTAAACATACATTCTATTTTCACAGTAAGCGGAATAAGTAAAATGTGTTTCTTATTTGATGACATGTACAGATAGTTCAGTAAATATTAACATGACCCATTGTGATATTCAATTGTAAAACCATATGTGGAATTTTTAATAGTATAACCCACGTTTTTTAACATACGTCGACCAGTTTACTTAGAGTACCCATCAGGGACTCACAAGATAGATAATGCTATTTGATCAGAGAATCCCTTGACAATTAACCCATCGACAGCGCAGTTTTATTTTCAGCCGATATGAATTAGTTATGTCCGAAAGACTGATTGAATGTCAGAACAACTTAACGAAACAACAGTTTATAATTCACGCATTTTACGCATATTAAGTGGAAGGTCATTATTTCTGTTGGAGTCTCTATGATTTGTTTTCTCACAGAGGCGATTGTAGATAATCCCTCTTCCTCATACTTACAATTCTGCTGCACAAAAGGCAGTGGAACAACGACAAAGTTAGAGTCGGATGATTTCTTGCCGTTATTTGTTCCACTGGTAGTCTTTTCACTAAACATCCATTGTGTGAGATGTCGTTCCATTCGGTGGGACACAATTTCTAACTCTACAAATACAAATAATGAACCAATTAAGTAATTTGCAAAACGCTTGATTAGTATTCTTGGACTGTTGTGTTCATAGAATATGAATTATGTGTATTTGACAGAAACATTGTTTGAATTATCCGCTCTAAATCGAGTATATGACATGCAGCAAATTGTGTGGAAATTTCCGAACAATTGACTCCTACTAATCAGTAATTCCAACCAATTTGTTGTTGTAGTTTCACTAAACATCCATTGTGTGAGATGTCGTTCGATTCGGTGGGACACAATTTCTTAACTTATACAATCAAAACATAATGGTTGCTTATGACATTGTATCATAGGTATTCAATTAAACTAAGGTTAGCACGTAAAAATATAAGATACTTCATTCTTTAGGCCCACCAGACGAATAACAGAATAATAATAATAATAATAATATATAAAAATTGCAGTTCTGTCCTTTACTTCATGCACGTGTATACTATACTATACATACATACAATGGACTCAGTATTGTATTATCTGTTATTTCAGTCATATTTGTTATATGCATATACTATGCGTTCTAAGCACAAATGTACTATACACCGTGACTTACGTATATAATCAGTACTAGCAATAATGATATCACCACTGTTCAACATCTTTGAAATATCTGTAGTAAAATCATCAACTGCTTTGAGTACTCTAATTAATTTACTGCTATCCTATGTAAATGATAAAATATAATTGCTTTTGTTAACTGATTATTTATTGGTCGTTAAGGCATAACAACAATTTATTTTTTCAAGACATACGAAACCCCTACACAGAGCACATCCGGTCATCAAACTTGTTGTAGTAAATTCACAACGAGTCAATAGCGTGTACTAACAGAACTGCATATTTGGTAGCAATACCATCATAAACTCGTGAAATATATATGCCACATTTTCTCTTTAGATAAATTAATAAGTTAATTAATTATGGTACTTACATTATTTAAGATATATGTAGCTGATTCTACCATTCGCTAAAAATCAAATATTAAAATTAAAATACCGTTAAGACAGTAGGTAATGTCGTAAAAATGTAATACTACCGGTAACACCAGAGACGGTTACTGTGGGTGAGAAGTAATAATTATTTTATTATTGTTTCTCCAAAAAGCATTTCGTGCGAAATTTATAACAGTAAAAAATTCCGTTTATATAACGACTATCGTTGAACTCGACGGTTTTGGCGCCCACATTACCTTTTTAGTTAGCAGTTAGTATAGTGTTCTATGCAGAATCAGTGCAAAAACATCGTAAAAATGCTAGTAACTAAGATTGGAAAAACCCACCCACCCATGAAACAAATTTACAAGAAGGACTCATCTCAAGTATACCAAGTATAGTATAGTATAATTTGACATGAAAAACGTAGAATACATAATTTATGGTCAACTGAACGTTACATAAGCACATATACACTAGTTCAAAGTCATGGTAAAATAGATCTATAATTGCCAAGTATCACACATCATATCAACACAGCAAAAACACGCCACCCCTAATTCCTAAATATGTCAAAAAGGAACTCCTTGAACATTGAAAAGACCTATTGGGTGCCTCGCGCATTCGTTGCTAAGTTTTTACTATTTCAAGATTAGTGAGGACGAACGTGACAAGTCAAGTGATTACAAGTGGTTACACCGCCGATAAATTAAAATTTTCCAAGTACAGAGTAAACGAATTTAGTAAAAATAGTGCACAGAAGCAGTAAAACAAGAAACGGCAAATAAAGCTCATTGAAAATAAACTCTGGACTCTGGACATATACTCTGGACAACCTCGGACGACCAAACCATGTGTCTGACTCACTAGGGAACAGTTTTAAAATGAAAATACAATCATTTGCACTATTATAAATATCACGCAAGGCTTATCGGGGGAAACAGTAATATTATTACTCAACACTCACTGTAAACGTCATTGGTGACTACGTAGAGAAGGCGTTCCGCTCAGGTGTTAATGGTGGTAGTAATACTAATTTTATTGCCACACTCATTGTCTGGTATGAGTTGTGAAATTGAAATATTATATATATCGTGGCAATAAGGTGATGTTATCGACAAATCTAAATCGATGTCATTACTATAATATTGTAATAATAATGTTCTAAACCATTCTAGAAAAGAACAGGTTCCTAACATTCCAAAACGGAGCACAGGACAATCCCGTGACATCCCGTCATATTTAACTTTGACCAGTCTTTTCATGTCACATGGGACGACAATTGTGAATTATTTTCAAATTCAAGGGTATTTAGATCTCTGTCACTTTCTATATTCTCATTGTACAAATTATCTATATTATCACTCCACAAGCTGTTCTGTTATTATATATGTACTACTATAACTAATAGTAAAATCCAATATTTGTATTTTAGTTTAATACCTATTATTATTATTATTATTATTATTATTATTATTATTATTATTATTATTATTATTATTATTATTATTATTATTATTATTATTATTATTATATCATATACTCTTATACTGTCATAGATATATTGAGTTATTTTATAGATTTGTTATCTGCTTTGATTTTATATATTTTGTAAAGTCAAATTAAGGCTGCAAACAGCGAGAAACCTCTGCATTAATCGCAATATTACAAATTGTATTCAGTAAATCGATAATTGAATATAATTCAACATGTTTGTGTTTATTGGCGACTATTAAATGTTATATACATGAAAAGTCTTTCAATAATATTTGTGCGATTTGCACTTTTTCTTGCTCCCTATATTATAAGTCAAGTTTTCAATTTAGAACAGAGGGGATTACTGGCCATCAGGGAAACACATTTGTGGTTTATAATCAACATTTTAAAATACAAATAGGTTTATAACTATGCATATTATGTGCTATATTATCATAAATGCAGACCACAAGGTACATATTTGGTTAGACTATATGACGTACACTCCATCGGGCCTATATTTCGTTAATTAATTGCAAGACCATACTCACCCTCGTTACTGTTTGTAATTGACTCAAGTGATCCTCTTCATGTTCACAAATTGCGTAATCCAGTAAAGTACGAAACATTTCCGGATCATCTAGTAATGCCGACGTATTAAAGCATCCACTGGAAATGGGAGACAGTGTGGGAGCTAGTGCTGATGGGTTGGTAGAACGCACAGTTTGAATCAGTGTTGTTGGAATAGTAGAAACAGTTTCAGGGGATATCGAGATCGTGGTTGTCACTGCAACATAATTGTATGTAAACCATAATGGTTTGCTTATTTATTGTTTGTGTTATCGGTTAATATGTCGGTGCATTTCTGTTCATCTTTTACGTTTCATAAGTATTCCAATACTAGATATGTCTGAAATAGTTTCTGTATGACGTAATACAAAATGAAACACATTGTCCACCAATGTAAACAGGCTTCTGTCTTCTGTCTGTCGTGATATTCAGAATAATCATACAACATGAGACATATGCCAATTATCCAAGCTCACAATGACAAAAATGGCGTACAGCACAATAAATTTATTTATGCTGGAACTTCTTATGTGCAGCTAAACACTAAACACGAAATGAGTTACAACTGAATGTACAATATTGAAAATTGTTCGGTCTGTATCCGTCTCGTAACATTGGCATGGCAACACAAAGTAAAGCTAAAGAGGAGAAACGGAAACGGTTAGAACTTTATGTTTCAGCAAGAATTGATATTATTACAGAAATCTCTGCAAAGAATAGTAATCTCAAGAGAAAATTAAATTCGCATGAACGGAATTAAATCTTCGGTAGATATCAGTATAATATATAGACAGATACGTAAATCTGATAGGCATTAAACACTTGACAGTAAAATATTCGAGAATTTAAAGCAGTGTCACGTCTGGTTGTCCATACAAAGAAACATAAAATGCAATACAGTAGTATTAAACTTTTTTATGATCACTCAATTCAGTAAAAGGAGAAGAGGTTGGAGTTTGCAACTGACTATATTGCCACCGACATAACAAAGAATTAACTACCCCAGGGAGAAACATTCTCTGAGTTCGACATTAGCGGATTTGCAGTGATATTAACTAGGTTTTAAGTTCATCGGTTTGTGAATACATTTATATTGTTAAATTTGCATATTCACTGATTGCTAATTCAGTGCATTTAGGTACTAATATAATATTTGAAAATAATAATATGAAATAAATGCTGGAGTGGATATGTCTCACTACATGGTATATATACAGCTTGCAAATTCATGTTATACACATCGGATCAATAGTATATTTATCAAATGACATATTCTCGAACGAAGCATCTTTTCGATAAAATGATTTTGTGTGTATGTTTGCCTATCCTCACATCGTGTAATGTACATTGGCATGAATCACGCTGATACTGGCACAGGTTTCTAGTGAATAATTCCGCTACTTACGTTTTAGTTCGGTTTTGCATATATATCTTTTGTTGTGGTTACAGTCTTCGTCGGACCAACGATATGATTCACTCTTCTTCATTAATCCACAGGTGTGAGATCCCAGAGCATTTAATTCCCAATATTCCCATACAATATTTTGATTGCCATTATCACCTACCCAATACCAATCGGCTGCAGTACTGACGTACGAAAGGCCAATCCAAAAGTCGTCTTCACCGACATATTGCTGAATAATATTCACTAGATAATCAGATTCCTGTTGGCTCTCAATATCTGCTAAATAACCACCTGAGGTGAATACGTAATTTTCACACGTCTTTTTGGCGTCTGTCCAGGATATTTTGGTATCAGAGAAATGGTAACAAGCTGATGTCACGTAACTGTAGTACGTGTAGCTTTCAGAACAATCTACAAATTTGAATAATATAACACTTATTATATTTTAATATTATTTTTAATATTTACAATACTTGTTATATTTTTTAAAGTTCAATTGGTCAGTGGTTATGAATTTGTACACTAATAATACCAACCCAAACAATTTTTTTGAGTATACTTATACAATAACAATATCGCAGTCCAAAAAACAAATAAATACTCATCAAAACATTGTTTTCCATACCCCAATGCATGAAGTACATATACAACTCAAGGAAACTTGAGACACATGTACAAAGTACAACCTCATAATTTCATGATATACTTCACATCACTTAGGGAATTACTGTGATTCTTTTTACTGTTTTAAAGACTTGCAGCTTATATCAAAATAAGGACAAATATTAAAATTTGTTATACACTACTGACAAAAATGTGATATTGTTTTGAAAGTTTAGTAAGATAAATTTTAGTCCTTGTATGGACATTTGTAGATGCCCGTATGGTGGCCCAATATGACAATGAAGTCATTTTGAAGTATGGAAAGTTATTAAAGACGACTTATCTCACTAAAAACAGATGCAATATCTTCAATACTCTTTAATATCATAATAATTCTTCGCATAATTTTAATTTGTAATTGTTGTGAAAATATACCGAGATTTAATTTAGAGTAGGCTATAGCTACATTTTATTGTCAGCTCTGTTTTTTCTAAAATGATCAAACTGATTGTTAGTATTCACTAAGTATCTCAAAACAACTTGTGAATCTGTCAGTCCAGTAGTTATCAAGCAGTTTTCACAGTAACACAACGTTTCGACTCAATTATAAGCAATATCTCAAAAACTGTCAGATAATTACCATATATAGCAAACTGGAGGTCGCACAAAGTCATCAATCATTGTCAAATACCTATTTCAATATAATTACGGAATTCGAATATTTTTTGTTAGAAATCTCCTTTATCGTGTCATAAATGGTGCAGTTTGTACAATTTGAATCGGAGTAACTGTCCCATTTTCGTTTTACAAATTTATCAAAAATATCATGAAAATGTTTCAACATGAAACATTTAACTTTGTGAGCTGATTAACACAGTCTATAGATGACATGTTAATTAGGTACAAACAAAACATAATAAATGAGTTTTACAAGAGTTTTATTGCGATATTCTTGTGTGTTTTTTGTGTTATGGTAAACATCGCCTTGTAATTATTGAACTATTAGCTACGCACGTTCCTAATTGAGGTATTGGAAAATGCTAAAACTTAATTCTGTAATTATTTAAATCAATAACATAGCAGACGACACATATAAACATAATGTACTCTGAATACAATTTCAAATATATGTCACAACAGTATGCAAATTACAATGAGCAAAAAGAAAAATTGCTTAATTATAATGGTTTTGACGTGCATTACACTTGTTTTACATGTAATTTGAAGATATTTCAATTGATTACATGTGATTTGAAGATACTGCATTTGATTACATATGATTTGAAGATACTGCAATTGATTACATATGATTTGAAGATACTGCAATTGATTACATATGATTTGAATATACTGCAATTGATTACATACGATTTGAAGATACTGCACTGATTACATATTATTTGAAGATATTGCATTTGATTACATATGATTTGAAGATACTGCATTTGATTACATATGATTTGAAGATACTGCACTGATTACATATTATTTGAAGATATTGCATTTGATTACATATGATTTGAAGATACTGCATTTGATTACATATGATTTGAAGATACTGCATTTGATTACATACGATTTGAAGATACTGCACTGATTACATATTATTTGAAGATATTGCATTTGATTACATATGATTTGAAGATATTTTAATTGATTACATGGGTTTGAAGATATTGCAATTGATTACATATGTTTTGAAAATACTGCAATTGATTACATATGATTTCAAGATACAGCATTTGATTACATATGATTTGAAGATATTGCAATTGATTACATGTAATTTGATGATATTTCAATTGATTACATGTGATTTAAAGATACTACAATTGATTACATATGATTTGAAGATAATTTGCAATTGCACTTGTTTAAATAACTCTTGGACTAAAACACAGGACTTCGTGGTTCGTATTTATGATTGAACTTATTGCTATCGTAACCAAATTTAACTTCGACTTTCTCTCATTAAATCATTTACTTTCACATAAAAATAATTATGGTATCGTTTTCTTGTAGAACGCCATCGATTGCTATATACACAGGAAAGATTTGATAATTTGACTAACACAAATATGTCACAGCTATTTTCTATATAAGTGTTGTCAGGTTCTGCTGAATGTACACCAATTAGCACAAGTGTGATGTGTTATACAAAATGTTTGACTTGCTTGGCCTAATAGTACATGTGAATCATATTATTATACTATTTATAATACCTAGGCGTGGTACATTGGTTGGCGTGTTCCTCTCTTTAAACACAATTCATGATTTCTGTTGTTATAACGCAAATGTTACACGCGAGTAAGCCATACATTACCCACAATTCCGTATATTTTATTTTTCACAAAACTACTTTCAACAACACTTGCTATTTCCATTTTAGATCATATTAAATTTCTAAGTACTCTATATGTTTTGCAATACGCGTCTATAATGTCAATATTTGTACAATGTATGGTGCTAAGTAACGGAATGATTTAACAGTGTCCCACAATATAACATACGTGCTCTCAATTGTGGATGATAATGTACAAGCCGCCAAATCAGCCTAAGATTTCAAATCAGCCTAAGATTTCAAATCAGCCTAAGATTTCAAATACATGAATCGAATACACATTATGATTTGAATACTACTAGTATGCATAGACGCATCTGGATAAGATAAGTGATGGATAAAATATGGAGTGATGAAGTTCAAACCGACGTATTAACTCATTAACTCAGCATAGTTAACTGCATGCATATGACTATAGACAAATGAATAAAACTTACTCAGCCCTGTTGCGACCACTTGAGTACTTCCCAGTAAAGAAAAGATATAAAACCAAAATACTTCCCGTCTCTTCATACTGCCGTGTATAGGGTATAAATGATAAGAATATATCTGGACAATATCCAAAAATGCAATAAAACGGAAGCGGTGCCGGTGATATCGACAAATGCGTCCAATATAAACGAAATATGCGGAATTTACTGACTGGAACTGTCCATTCTCGTCATGGGGTATTTCTGTTAACATTGCACATTGCGCATGCGCCATGTCAATCGTATTTTTTCTCCCTATAATAATCTATTTTTTATTTTAATTGACTAACTAATCTTCCTATCTAAAGCTGATTAAAATAAAATACATGTGTATTGCAAGCTGTCATTTCTAATGCTCCGTTATACTACCGCTCCAGCATCGTCGATGGCAGTTCGGATTTACCAATTGTCTCCAAACGTACGAAATAATCATAAAATAAATCTAGATTGAATGCTATGGTAGCGTACTGTAGTTTACTGAGTTGGTGACGTCTGCTAAGCCAATTGCTATAGACGTACCCGAAATGTAAATCTGAGTCACACTATTGTGTATTGTGATTGTCCATTTAATTGTATGGGTGGCATGTAACCGGTTGTTTGTCACATAAGACGTGTTCCTGATGCCAGTGTGACAAAGACAGTGTGGGCAGATTCATGGCATTGTATAAGCAATTAACAATTGAAACATGTATTACCGGGTATACATATTGCCGATAAAGACATTGGAGATAGTTATATTAGGAACTGTTAAATGAAGCTACTTAAAAAAAAAAAAACATTATAACAAAACAAAAATGAAACACTTTTATGCACGGTATTATTGTACTATATAAGAAGCACTATGCCCGCCTTATTAGTAATAGTTTATAGATGTTCCGCCTAAGTGTTGTCAACGTTCGTCAGATAAGTTAATTGAACAATGAGACGTTAGTAAATAAAACACCATCAAAACAGAATAATAATAGTTTCAGCGTTAGATACTAATGACATTTGTCCTTCGAATGATATATTATTATAATCACTACACTCCAGTCAAGCTTCAATTACACGACAAGGCCACCTTACTGTATTTTGATTAAATCAATAAAGTTAATGATTAAAACAATGCTATGCTGTATATTCTCATTTAAATGTGTCAATGTTAACAAGAAGGAACACTTTAAAATAAGGTATAAAAACCTACACGGTTAGAAGTGTATAGATGTTATTCTGTGTAAACTGGTAATCTTCTTTCAATTCTGTGACGTCACCGTGCTCTTATCTATGCGTAGTTCTTGCACAAATTGAACAATGGCGAGCTCTATGTATTTTGATTATTTATGAGAAAAAAAATCATTGTTGTGTTATTGACAGAAGGTACACTCACTTACTAGAGTACTCGTATAACCTTTCGAAGTAAGTTTCCATTGACCACGGTTTCGAAAAAAAATCTTGAAAAAATAGTTAAAAATTGCGCAAGTATTTTGTGAAAAGTTATAAAATTCAATTTTAGCGCTCAAAGTGTCAAAATAAAATAATCCACAATAAAAGCAAGTGTCCTTTCTCAAAAAGACTGGTTTCTATGACGCTCAAACAGTAGTCTGTTGTCCATGTCACTTCCATTTGTCAAACAAATCAATGATAATAGAGGACCCTAGGATTCTTATTTACAAAATGTATGCGGTTTTTATTTTCAATTTGTTTATATACAAAAGGTTATTTTTTGTCAGATAGTGCTGAAGTATATTGATCACCGT